CGAAACATCAGGCAAATAAAACTCTTGTTTTAGTGATCGCATCTTCGTCTTCTGAACTGTTTCCTGGGACTTGAATATTCGCTACTATTGACACTTTATTTTCTATCAAGCGTCTACAAGAGGAAGCGTTTCCGCCTATGTTTTTTATTAAGTAAAGTTTAATTGATAAGAGCATCGACAATATGTAGGAATACATACTTCTTCGGTAGTTATCTTTATTCACCGTGATATTTTCTGGAGGTCGAGGGCACATCAGGTCAAGGTCGACATTCGGACGCACCTGAGTTGCCTTGAAATTATACTCTAAGTTTACAGTCACTACAATTACCCTTAACCGAACATTTCTAATCTAATGTGCATTTTAAAATATTTGTTAACATTCCATTTGGTTGGTCACTGGCTGTAACTAGGAACTAAAAACTTTTGGTGTTCGCTCTTTTTAACTTCAGTGAAAGAACGCAGGCCCCAAATTTTTAACGTTTGGCCTTCCTTTCGTACCTAGTATACGTCAAACGATATTAAGATACCTTTTTGTCCTTAACAAGTTTCATCTGCGTGGGAGCTAGTTCTTTTAGCTCTTGTGAAGTTACAAGATAATTATACATTCTGCTTTCGTATGTCTGAAATTCTGGGAAACTTCCATGAGAAGTACGCCTAATTATAAGTTGCGTCAATGACGAAGTATGCAATTATTCTCAAAGAAATATCCTTTTTGTGATTTTTGATGGACTGTGCTACCCCGGCACATACCTATTTGCCGGGTGAGGTCCAACTTTTGCTTTGTGCTCAAATGTCCACAGAAAAGTCCTGCTCTTTCATAATCCTGTCAAAGTTTAAGATATGGCTCCCAAAGGCTGTGGAGCGCAGGATGGACCTCGTCAAAAATGATGGTTGAATTGTCAGTTTGTATATCGTCAAGCATATACTAACTCAAAGGAAATAATGTGTAACATATCCCAACAATTTGTACGGTTTTTCTTCATTATACATCTTAAAGTCGTCGACATTCGTTCTGCCTTAGCAGATGAGCAATAGGGGTTCACTCAAATAAATAGTCCTGTTATTCGGTCTAGTTTAGAGTTTCTCTAAAGCAGAGGTATCATTCATTTTTAACCGTTTGCAACAGTTCTTTGTATCCCGATAATTCAGTATTAAGGCACTAAAGGAAATAATGTGTGGGTTTGGGAAAATTCCATGCTTCACTTTCACACTTGACTCAACCAATGGCGGATACGTACACATTTCGTGTCGCCAAATTTAAACAAAATTTGATTGATAACGAACCACCGTACCTGCTTTCACTCACTGCATAATTAGTTTTACTAATAACAGAGCCTGTTATTAACGTGTGTGCGTTTTCTATCCACCTGCACATGTTTGGCGTCTTAGCGCTATCATAATTTAGCAGCCAAATTAGGATTTAATCTAAACTTGCTGTGATTCTATGAATCAGCCTGGAGATTAAACCCTTCTTCACTGCGGGAACTGGAGCAGTTCAATATTCTGTAGGCCGAGTCACCTAGCGCGACTTCTGCTATATCACCACCGCCATGTACGTAGGCTTTATTTTGATTGCTCTTATTCGGCGTCATTTAAGTACTTCGAGCGCAACCAAGATAAGCCCCAAGGAACGCTTAGGTCAGAAATAAAAAAAAAAACAGCAGTGGACGAAACACTTTAGCACGAAATGTACACTTTACATTTCCCGGTTATGTCATGTATAGCAAACAATGGAAACCGGTGTGTGTTTGCACAGATATCGCCAAAAGGTCAAGCGCAGGACAATGTCAAAGCGTTTGGCTGTCAATTATTTCTTCTTTTTCTTAGGAGAGGACTTGCTCTTGTTCGATTTTCCCTTTGACTTGCCTTTGGATTTGCTTTTCGGCGATTTACTTCCCTCGGCTTTCTTCTCCAACGCTGCGGCCATCGCTTCGTCGGAGAAGTCCTCGGACAGTATCTCCGGCAGCGGATCAAAACAGAGTTTCAGTTCAATTGCCCGCTCCTGCATGTAACGTCCATGGTTGGCCTCGTGCCGCTGGAAGGCCCCAAAGCCAAATATAGGGTCAGTGCACCCCGTAAAGTCTTGACGGCACCAGCCGCATACCTGGGGATCGGAAGTCGTATGTGCTGCTATTATGTGCGCTTGAAGGTACCAGTCATTGCGAAAAACTTGCCAGCAAGTACCACAAGTCTGGCCACAATCAGTTGAATTGACCATAACCTCACGGCGGATCCACAAATTAGCCAGGTAATTGATTTGATGCAGATGGCCAGTTACCACGTGTATGTTAAAGGCCTTCTCTGACATGAATGCTGCTTTGCAGATGGTGCAGATGCGATGATCATACTTGATAGGCTGATCAACCGCATGTCGACAGAGTATGTGAGCCTGAAAGTCCACATTGTTCGGGAAGATCTGATCGCAGAGACAACAGGAATAAGCTGCTCGTAAGTGGAACTTGGTAAGAAGGGCTCGACGAGCAAGGAGGGTATATGCCGCCGAGTGATCCTCCATGATGTGTTGGTCTAAAGCCAACAGACCAGGTGGTATCTCCGCGTTCTCGAAGGCGCACATACGTTCTTCCTCCGCCAGTTGTAGTTCCTTCTGGTACTTAATCATAGTGGCCGCATCAGCACCTGCTGGAGGAGTTGGAACTTTCGCCGGTGGAGGCGGTGGTGGTTCCTGGAAAGTGAACTTACACAGACCACAGCAACCAGGATCTCGATTTGGCCGATGGTAGGCAATGATGTGGATGGAGAGGTCAATTCGTGAAGCAAAGGGTCGGCTTCGACAGAGCAGACACCGGTAGGGTGGGCCCAGTTTTAGGACGGACTCGTGTTGGATATATCGAATGAAATTGGCTTTCTGTTCACAACAACCATGTTTCTCGACGAACTTTATATGAATGACCCTTCTGCAGGCCCGACATTGCTGGCTGATAACGTCATTCGGTGGGAAGTGGTTCATTAGTAGGAGATGAGCCTGAACAGTGGCATAGTCCTTGAATTCACGCGAGCAAAGATAGCAGACACAGGTTGGTTCTGTCTGTATTGCAGCGTCCACTTGGGGCCCTCCATTCGAACTCTTGGATCCCTTGCCTTTCTTGGAACCCTTGATTTTGGGCGACTTCCCCTTGGATCCCTTACTCTTCGGCGAGTTGCCCTTCTTGGATTTCGCCATTTACATTTGGAATGCCGAACTGCAGCCTTCAGTCCGAAACCAGGAGGATTTGCCGTTAAACTTTACCTCTCCTTCGCATTCATTATGAAGTGGAAGTTGCCCACTCCTGCAAACAGCCACGTGCGCAAATTCAAAAAGTCGATACAGGAACGCGGAAAACAAGGAATGCACGCGTGCCGACTGGAAAAGGAATTGCGCCTGAATTATGTTTGCCCCTTGTTTTCTAACCCTAAAGGTGCACGTTCGAAGGATAACCTCGCTCACTAGGACGTTTTCCTGCATTTGCATAAAATGAGAGGTGGGCGACTCTTATCAGCCTGTGATGTTGAAAAATGGCAACTAACAACAAAATATATCGCCTCCCAAATGGGAAAATTATATTTTCTATCAAGTTGTTAGGATGACTGCTCTCTTGGTTACAACATGTGATCCTGCGCTCTTTTGTGCCATTGGCGTTTTTAGGCGAACATCAACCTTTGTTTTGTGTCTTGTGGCTTCTTTTAAAGTGGCACTAGCAGCCAAATCTCAGTCATTTCAGGTCGCACTTATATAGTCCAGCATTTATAGGTTCTGAACGAAGCTGCTATTACCTATAACTCGTGAGAACGAACCTATATTAAAGGTGAAAATCTATTACCTTTCTCTCTCCGGCCGATATGAAGTGTTTGAATTTATTCTTAGCTTCATCATAAAATGGGCTTTAATTTTCGGATCAGTGATCCTCCACGAGAAACTGTTATTGCCGCCTTCGGCATAAGCTGGAGTTGCTGTATATTTTTATAAATTCTTTTCCACTTCTACTAGTTTATAGATTGCTGTCGTTCATTAATATCCAGGCAATAGCATCCAGTAAGTACGAGGGTGCATACGGTCGAATTTTAAGTAGTAACTTAATAAATACTACTATATATTAATGGATTTTCTG